TCTCTCTCTCTCTGGTTGTGAGCCGAACAGTAATGACTGTAAGACTAAAGTAACATTAATTATGACACCAGATTCAATCGTTCGAAGTTAGTTCTAAATTCACGAATCCAGACTTTTGTATAGAATTACGTAGCGCACTGCTACAATTGGTGACCCCGTCTAGTGTTCGATCACTCGCGATCGCTCAGTGGTCTGCACGCAGCATTGAATTTTACTTTTTAGTATTTTATGAGCACTAGTACAGTATGAATACCTCAAACTCCGGAGCTAGCACACCTATCCGCAGTGTAGGTCGTGGCCAACTGCTGTCCAGAATCACCGGCGCTGGAACTTCCGCAGCAGGCGGTACAGCCCGCGACAGTGAGGTGGCCGCGGTCAGCTTGAACGTCAAGCTACCACCTTACTGGGCTGCTGACCCCCAGGTTTGGTTCGCACAGGTTGAATCCCTGTTTTCCACCCGTCGCATCACCAGCCAGGTGACCAAATATCAGTACGTGGTGGGATCACTGACACCAGAGTATGCGGCAGAGGTGCGTGACATCATCCTGGATCCTCCTGCTCAACAGCCGTACGACGCTCTCCGCGAGCGTCTCATTCACCGCACGCAGATGTCAGAACAGCAGCGTTTGCGCCTGCTGATTTCGGACGAAGAGCTGGGCGACAAGAAGCCCACCCAGCTATTACGCAAGCTACAGCAGTTAGTAGGTGAGAACGCCATGCCCGAAAAACTTTTGCGAGAGTTGTTTGTCAGCCGGTTGCCCCGATCGGCCAAGTCAATAGTAGCATCCTGCCCTGCATCACTGCCGCTGCAGGATCTGGCAGAAATGGCTGACAGAATAGTGGAGGCAGCTGGTCCCAGTGCGGCAGTACATGCAGTTCGCAACACTGGCGAGTCAGAGACAATGGCTGCCATTGCAGCTCTCCGGGACCAAGTTGCCGCCCTGACGACTACTGTAACCGAGCTGAAACAGCAGCACGGCCGCCCTCGCTTTCGCGGCCAACCCCGCAGTCGCTCGGTCTCACCGCATAGCTGTGGTTTATGCCATTTTCACCGCAAGTTTGGTGTGCAAGCCCGGCGGTGTGAAGCCCCGTGCTCCTGGTCGTCGGGAAATGCCCCGGCCAGCCAGTAGCGGCTCCTGTGTCTGGCCCACCTACCTCCCGCCGCCTCTATGTCCGTGACGTCACCAGCGGAACCCGTTTCCTAGTGGATACCGGTGCTGACGTCAGCCTGCTGCCAGCCACTTCTGAACACCGCCGCCACGTCGATCCGACTGGTCAGTGTCAGCTCCGTGCTGCTAATGGCTCTGCTATTCCGGCTTTCGGGCAGAGGTGTTTGACCCTTGACCTTGGTCTTAGACGAACATTCCCTTGGATATTTGTCGTTGCTGACGTGAAGGAGCCGATCCTGGGGGCTGATTTCCTCCATCGGTTCAGTCTCCAAGTCGACCTTCATGGACGCACCATCCGTGACAACTCCACTGACCTCCAGGTCAATTGCATTCCTGCCGAAACCGCATCGCTCAGCTGCTCCTTGGTTTCCGCCCCGGTGGCCACAGCACCAGCATTCACCGGCCTGCTTGCCGAGTTCCCAAGCCTCACCAAACCATGCTGTTATGACCTGCCGGTCAAGCACTCGGTGGAGCACCATATTGTGACTACCGGCCCGGCACTGCATGCCCGCACTCGTCGGCTGGCTCCAGACCGCCTGGCAACGGCCAGAGCTGAGTTCCAGCATATGCTGTCCCTGGGCATCATTCGGCCATCCTCCTCGCCCTGGTCCAGCCCTCTCCACATGGTTCCTAAACCCAATGGAGACTGGAGGCCATGTGGAGACTACCGACTCCTGAATAAAGTCACCGAACCGGATCGGTATCCGATTCCTCATATTCAGGATTTCACCAGCAGTCTCCATGGTGCTACAGTGTTTTCGAAACTGGATCTGGTCAGAGCGTATCACCAGATACCAGTAACCCCGGCCGACATTCCCAAGACTGCCATCACGACTCCGTTCGGGTTATTTGAGTTCATCAGGATGCCCTTCGGCCTCCGGAACGCGGCACAGTCATTCCAGCGGTTTATCGATTCAGTATTGCATGGCCTGGATTTCTGCTACGTCTACCTCGATGACCTCCTAATCGCCAGCTCCGACCACGCTACGCACCTGCAACATCTGCGCCTGGTGTTTGAGCGACTGCAGCAGCATGGTTTGGTGATCAACCCCGCTAAGTGCGTTTTCGGCCAGCCGTCCCTGACGTTTCTGGGCCATCTGGTTAACGCCCAGGGCATCAGCCCGCTACCGGCAAGAGTCGACGGCGTGGCTCAGTATTCCCTTCCAACATCTCGCCGCCAGCTTCGCGAGTTTCTGGGCATGGTCAACTTTTACCGGCGCTTTATTCCCCAGGCATCCGACATCCTCCAACCACTGACGGATCTGCTTGGTGGACCTCAGCGTCCGAAGAACTGTCCCCTGAAACTTGGCACTGCCGCTGTCACGGCATTCCATGCTGCCAAGGACGCGCTTGCTGCAGCAACGCTGCTCATCCACCCCATCCCGGATGCACCCCTCCAGCTCGTTGTGGATGCATCAGATGTCGGAGTTGGCGGGGCCCTTCAACAGCTTGTTGATGGGGCATGGCAGCCGCTCGCTTTCTTTTCCAAACGAATGCAACCAGCTCAGAGTCGCTACAGCACGTTCGGTCGAGAATTGCTAGCTGCATACCTGGCAGTAAAGCATTTCCGGCATCACCTGGAAGGCCGCTGCTTCCACATTCTCACGGACCATCGCCCGTTGGTGTTCGCCATGCAAGCTGCTGGTACTAGCCACTCACCTCGTGAGCTCCGGCACCTGTCCTACGTGGCTGAATTCACGACGGATCTCCGCTTCCTGCGTGGGGCTGACAATGTTGTTGCTGACGCTCTGTCTCGCGCCACTGTTGATGCAGTAACCGCGCCGCCGGCCGCTGTCGACTTTCAGGCTCTGGCAGCCGCCCAGCAGTCTGATCCCGAGCTACTCTCCGCTCAGCAAGACACGCAGTCGTCTCTGAAGCTTCAGCCAATCCCGTACGGTTCCGCTACCCAGCCTGTGGTGTGCGACATGTCGACCGGCACTGCCCGCCCGTTTGTACCGTTGTCCTTTCGCAAGACCGTCTTCAACAGCCTGCACTCCCTTGCACATCCGGGTATTCGTGCCACTCAGCGTATGGTTTCGGCACGCTACGTCTGGCCCGGCATGCAAAAGGACGTCCGGGAATGGACCCGCTGCTGCCCCTCCTGTCAGCTGAGCAAAGTGACCCGCCACACCCAGGCTCCGCTTGGCCAGTTTCTGCCACCCGATGAGCGCTTTGACCACATCCACATTGATTTGGTCGGCCCTTTGCCTCCCTCCGGTGGTTGCACCTATCTGCTGACCTGCGTGGATCGCTTTACCCGCTGGCCAGAGGCCATTCCGATCAAGGACGCCGCCGCGGAAACAGTTGCCACCGCTTTCATCGCTGGGTGGATTGCCCGCTTCGGCGTCCCATCTGTCGTCACCACAGATCGTGGCGCCCAGTTTGAGTCCGCGCTTTTCCGCCACTTGTTGGCCCTGCTCGGCACCTGCCGGACTCGGACAACTTCCTACCGTCCACAATGCAATGGCCTCGTCGAGCGTTTCCACCGCCACCTAAAGGCTGCTCTGAAGTGCCACCCTCATCCTGGTGCCTGGAATGCAATGATGCCCCTGGTGTTGCTGGGCATTCGCGCTAGCCTGCGCGAGGAGTTCCAGTGCAGTTCCGCGGAGCTGGTCTATGGCACCACTCTCCGCTTGCCATCTGAGTTCTTCCAGCCACCGCCATCTATGCCGTCGGTGCCCGTCTACGTTCAGTTCCTCCGGGATGTATTGCAAAACATCCGGCCCTCAGCCGTTGGCCCTCGCCAGTCCAACCGCCCAGTATACGTGCCGAAGGATCTGTCAACGTGCGACTTTGTGTACATCCGTACCGACAGTGTCCGCAAGCCGCTCCAACCACCGTACACTGGTCCGTTCCGTGTCCTCAAGCGTGCTGACAAGCATTTCACGGTCGACGTCAAGGGCAAGTCCGACCAGGTAAGCATTGACCGCTTGAAGCCCGCATATGCTCTGCCTGTTACAGCTGCTGCTGCTTCTGCTCTTTCTCTGATTGTCCCGCCGGTTGCTGCTGCTGCCCCACCCCCTGCACGTGCTGTTCACTTTGCTACCTGATCGGCTGGGCTCCTCCGTTCTTTGTCGCCGTGGGCTTTATGTCGGACCTTTTCTGGTTGCCGTGCGGTTTTCATTTTTTTTTCTTCCTTTATACACTTCTTCTTCTACGTTGCGGTTGCCGTTTCTCTCCTTTCCAAAGTTATCGTTTCCTGCCTCCGGCTTGTACACTGGCAGGGGAGTAATGTAGCGGATTCTCGGTCACATGACCTGATTTACTTCGGTTTCAATGAAATTCTCATATTATTGGCTTCATGAAATTCTCCGGTCTCGCGGTCACACTTATATGTATTACGACCGCTTTACCGTATCAGCATGCGCCGTTCACTTCCGCACCGTATTATCCTTATTTGCATGCGTACTACAGCTGTGTACAACTAGATTCCAGTGCGCCGCTGGCCTTCCCTTTTGGTATAGTTGTACCGTACACCGTATTCAGCAGGCGAGCAGAAGTCGCCGCTCCTTGCCTTTTGCCTTGCTTCCATTATCTCTCTCTCTCTCTGGTTGTGAGCCGAACAGTAATGACTGTAAGACTAAAGTAACATTAATTATGACACCAGATTCAATCGTTCGAAGTTAGTTCTAAATTCACGAATCCAGACTTTTGTATAGAATTACGTAGCGCACTGCTACAGATCTACTCTTCAGTCTCTTGCATGTACGACGTAGTGCAGTGTAGTGCACGTGTTATTGATAGTGTGCATGCGCGCGGTACCTACAAGCCGTCGGTACAACCCCGCCGGCCCGCACGCTGCTAGCGCTATAGCTCGATCGATCGAGTCACCACTTTTACTTCCACAAATTTATTTTTCGTGCGACATGATGCAGGCAGCAGGCGTTGTTAGGTGACTGAAAGAGTGCAATTTCAAGTCAAAGAAGAAGGATTTCTTCCCAAGATAGACGTAGACCCTACGACGGTGTTTGAACGGCTGGCATTGCCTGGATCAAGGTTGTTTACCGGTATATGTTCGCGTGTTTGCAGCTCATCTCAGCCGGTGACAGTGCTGATATCAATGAAATAATCTTGCAAGACACCAGTCGAGTATCCACCAACTTTCTAGTTTCTGCCGTGAACATTTTATTTGAAACCTTTCTTCCTTTGGTGTGTCGGAATTTTGTAAAGTCAGCGCCCGTATTCGACATGTAGAATTGCATTCGGTGATGGGGTACGCCTGGATAGCCTGGCCTGGACCACTAGCCTGGGAGCAAGATGCCTCACAGATCGACTACCACCTGTCTGCTGCTGATCGTCCTGGTGATCACAACGTTTATAGCGCTGGTCGTTGTACTCTCTCCTCCCGATGAGCGAGCTCCAACTGGCAGAGATGTGGCCGATGAGGTGAGTATGCCCCTGACTGAACCACGTACGGTGGAAGCATTGCGTAAAATGGTTCATAGTCTTCAATCAATTTCTCAAGGTAACAAAGGCCATGGAGTATCCTCAGATGATAAACCAGTCACTGTGATAAAGCGCCTCAATCATTTGTTGCCAATGTATTTCAAGCGTGCTCAACGTTCATCATCTTTGAAGGAAGACAAGTCTAACCTTATTCGGCTGCTTCTCCTGACAAAATCTGCTCCTGGAAATTTTGACAAGCGGCTACAGACGAGATTGACTTGGCTTTCGCTGGCCATCCAGTCGTCCAACTGTCGGTGTACGACAAATACAGGTGACCGGTGTACACGCTATAGCCGCCTGTGCCAATACCGTCACATTGTCTGGTATCACCGCTTTTTGATTGGCATGGACAATGAAGATACGGATCTAATGGATACAGTACTGAAGGATGGAAATGAACATCTTGATGTTCTCTGGTATCCCGAGGAGGATCATTATCGTCGGTTGACCTGGAAAGTACATTGGGCGATGCAGTGGGTTGTCAACAATCTGCGCATTGACTATCTAATGTTTGTGGACGATGACAGTTTCATGCACCTGCCTCACTTAGCAACATACCTAGCAACGGCGCCCCGCACACACCTGTATGGCGGCCGCGTACCGTACAATGATGCGGTGGTGGTGCGCGACAAAAAGAGCAAATGGTACGTCAAAGAGAAGGCATTTCCTGGCCAGCACTACCCACGCTATGTATGGGGAGCCGGCATGATACTAAGCAGCGATGTTATGCACATGGTTGTAGAACGCTCGCACATGCACGAGACTTGGTTTGGTGTAGATGATGCGTTCATCGGCATCATCCTCAATCGGAGTGGCCTGTCGCCTACCAACATCAAGTCGATCTATCCAGCAATGTCAGTGTTTCATGGCTGTACTCCCGGCACAGAAGGTCAGCCACCTATACTAATCAGTTCTATAGACGAATGGCACCGGCACACCATGATGGAGTATGCTATGGGTAGTCTATCTCTCTGTTCGCTCATGGTCTGGCCGGTTTGGTGGAGAATTAGCTCATTTGTTCAGTCCTATGCCTTTATTCTCATCCTAGCCATCCTAGCTTTAATCTTCTGCCGCCCTCTGGTGCAGCGCCGCTACTTGTTCAGGCTCATTGTGTACGTATAACACGTTGTCCGGAGGCTGCTGCTGCAGCTAGGGATAATCAATTTGTCACACAGACTATGCAGCCTAGCACAAGCAGCACAGTTGTCCCTGGAAGCTTGGTCATCATTGCCAGCTCTGACGTGGAGAGTATCACTGCAGTGGGTGCTTGTTACATTGGCTGACGGCCATTGTTGTTTCCTCGGCGCCTGTGCACCAGCGACACGCGACAGCCGTGTGATCAGGCCAGGGCGTTGTTGCCGGACCGTTAGTGGGAGAATGCAGACTGCGTTGCATTGCACAACACCGGCCACTTGCCTGCCCTTGCGACTATCCCAGTGACGTAAAGTTTGCGTGTGTGTGTGCGCGTGTGTGTGTCACTCCTGCCAGGGCGAACACAATTCCAGTGCTGCGGCTACTGGTACTATCAACCCGAGTTTGCCTCGCTATTCACCTCCATAATAGCCTGCTGTTCACTTTTTTTAATATTTTCGAATTTATCTATGGACACAAACACAGCAACTTTGTTTCTAAGAATTTCTGTGGCGACTTCGTAATCTGTCTCTTCTTTGGTTCTTCCTCTTTTTTTTATTACTTGACTTCCTCCTCACGCGAGCCGTGAATTTTTTTACTTCCTCGCTATAAATTGTTTATAGCTAGGAGATTTCCAATTCTTTGTACATGTGTTGTGATCTATGAAAATCTAGGGCTTGGTCATAGTGTTAGACAGCATTCATATTATTTATTATGCTTCAAACAAATCATGTTGATTAGTCTTGCTACTGCTGCTGCTACTCCTGTTGCAGTTTATGCTTCTTCTTCTTTTTAATGTCCTTGTATGCCCCTTCCCCCTACTCTCCCTTAGAAGTGTGTTCTCCTTGAAGTTTGGTCATGGCGCTGCTGGTTCAAAGTGCTTTTTTGATATTTGTTTTCTGTCTAGTAGATCCCTATAAACAAAGCTTGTTTGTACGCTTTTGCATCTTCTACTTATTTTTTTAAGAATCTGGCTTATCTCCCACCTAAAACAAACATTACTGCACGCACACACGTGCACATGCCCGCACACGCATACACACGCGCGCGCGCGCGCACACACACACAATACATACAGGTGCATTTTTTTTATCCTTCTCTCTCTCTCTCTGTCTCGTATCTAGTTAGACTATGCACCAAAATTTGCTCCAATTTAGTCAATTCTTCTCTTCGGAGGTGTGCTCACCGTCTTTTTCGCTCTCTTGCATCGTAACTCCAATTTCCATTGATTCTGCACTAGTCTATGTTGCACACTCTCCTTGCCTGTGCTGCAGTCTGTGGTGGGACTATGCTGCCAGTGTGTGCAAGTGCATGCTTTGCTGGTTTGCCTCAGTAGAGAGTGCTGTGGTATGTTGCTGCCTCGTGCGATAATCGTTCAAGTCGATGGTAACAGTGTTGCCTTACGTACACCTGAGAGCTGCACAATATGCGGTAACACCCAGGTTTGCAATGACCAAGGGCACTCTACACATGCAGCTGGTGGCCTGTGCAAGCCTGCAATGATCATCCAGCTCTCCACTCAGCCACCACATGTCTACATGTACATCGGCACCACTGTGCTGGCACTATGTGCACAAGCACTCTCCCTGCGGGAATTTGCGGAAAAAGTCTTGAAAACTTAGGCAAGAAATTGCGGCAGAAAACAACGAAAAATGGGCTGAGGCCGTGAGGGAAAAGAACAGAAAAATGTTTTAAAAAAGTGCAGAAAACAACAAAAAACGCGGATTATGCAGAAAACCACGGGTTTGGGCCAAACTCGCGAAATTTGTTGCATCCGTGGAATCGCGATTTCCTGGAGGGACAGAAGAGTATGGGTAACATGTACTCGGTGCATACTGTCAACTGGAATAATAAAGAGATCTTGCTGTAATCTTCAGTGTGTGTGTGTGTATGTGCGTGTGTGTCACTTCAATCAGCTGTGTGGTGGATACCAGGCTAAAAATAGTGGCAGTCAATTCATCAGCCTTGCAAGCTGTTGAATGGTGTAATCCCAGCACAAGTTGCTATGTCTAACATAGCTGTTCGCTATCATCGCTTCCGCGATGGGCAGGTCTGAGGTCTGAGGTGTGTGCAGGGCCGCCGGAACCGGTTCGGCTGGTCCGGCCATGGCCGGACCACTTTTCCCAGTTGGATGGTCCACCTGATTCATGCAAAACTGGTGTAAACAAATTGGCTCATATTCACGTAAATTTTCCAAATAATTTCCCAATTCTGATGCTTAATTGTTACTAATTATATTATAGTTTCATCCGTCACATCTGCCTGTCTCTCTCTCACGAGATGCCCAAATTGGCTCATTTTCACGTAAATTCTCGAAACAAATTCCCGGGGGCGACCCCCCCCCCCCCCCCCAACTCCCACTTGGACATCGGCCGGACCACTCACAAACTCCTTCCTCCAGCCCTGGTGTGTGTGTGTGTGTGTGTGTGTGTGTCATTTTTGCTACCCTTTGGTTTTTCAGTTGCGATAATTATATTGTTGGGGCTGAGGAGGAATTAAACAATGTACATGTACATGTATGTGCTAGAGCATAGCCACCAGCAGTAAGGATATTGGAATTATGTGCATTGGGGAAAAATGAGAGATTGCAGTTGATGCTACCCCAGTTATCCAAAATGTCTTCATTGTCCAAACCCCAGTTATCCGAACACCATGACCAATCGAATTTCCAATCCTTGTACAGTAGCTGTCCGAATCAAATTGAACGGTTACCTTGATCATCCGAACCCCAGTTATTACAATACCTTGAACATTCCCAACCTCAGTTGATGCCCATGTAGCAGCTCATTGTGTTTTATACACCATACACCATACTGTACATTTTCTCATCAGCATGCAATGCCATGCATCATGGAGTCTTGTGCATGTGAGTTGTAGATGCGACCCGTTGTAGATTACTGACTGCTTTTTCGATTGTTTGGTTTACAGCACGACTTTGTCACGTGGCATGTGCATACATTTATTGTATACTCATATTCTCTCTTATCCGCACTCGAAGTTAGGGGCAGGCACCCTGTGGAAACAGTGACGTCATGTGACAGATCTCTGGCACTTCCCATCAAACCGTACAGTATGTGTGATTCAGAGTTTAAAATACTGATGTTTCCAAGTGATGGGCAGTGCCCTGTCCTGGACAAGAGAGTTCTGAGCGTACAACCGGCCTAGGAATATCATCAAGATCCATATTCCCCCAGACTGCCAGAGTGCACGACTGGGATGGGGTTGTGGGACGGCGTAATCACCGTGATGCACGTCATTTTTTGGGTCGGACTTGCATCCTTCCGTCGACGCGGTCAACCACGGTCCACACTTCCCACACTCATGCTGTCATACTATGACGTGCAACACGGATTTCGCCGTCCCAGATCTGATATTGTGATAAGCGAAGTTGCGCACTCTGGGGGATTATGGACTCTTGATATCATGTAGATCTACATTGTACAGTTATTGCACTCGGTGAAATCTGACCCCGTAACGGTGCACATTTGGCGCCCTCAACTTGCACGGCCCTTGACGCCGTGGCAGTGGCATGAATACGGCTGGGCGTATACAGCTACAATGATGTAATCAAAACTGGTACAGGGCGCCAGTTGTGTACTTTGGGTCGGATTTCACCGAGCGCAACAGTAACCATGGTAACTACCCCGGGCTGGCTGCACACAACTCTTGAAAACTAACAACGTTGGACTTCAATATGCACAATATCTAGTCACAGCCATAGCAACCAGTCCGACCGGACATTATCAAATTTCCGAAAAAGTTGATTCCCGCCCATGTGCACCGAATTCGTGCAGAACGGGTTTTTCGCCAATATTAAATGCTCATCATGTTCCGGTCAAGTATCCTATTTGACCGCCGGGACCATGTGGACTCACGATACCACTGCCCTGCCAGTACCTGGGTGTGCCTCGAACAAGCAACAGTGCCAGCCACCTCCTACTGTCCTGGTGCAAATCCGATATGACCAAACGGCAGTGTCCACTCTGCAGATGGCTGATCAGAAAGGTGAGAGCACCATGCCAGTGCCATTCTCCGGTACCCTCATTACATGTTGCTCTCTACTCCAGCGGTGTGCTACCTTTGTCTTGTGTCGAAATCCCACATCAATTATAAGACCCTGTTCCCGTACTTGAGAGCAAATGTGTATGTACATGTCATTCGAAGTCAGATGTCTGAGCTGGCTAGCCATAGAGACAAGGACGGCTGTGTTCAATAGCTAGTAGCTAGAGTCACATTGAATTGTTTTGCTCAGTTCTCCCAGCCCACCCATCTAGCGCTGCTCGCATAATGTTCCATTCGCCACGGAGTGAATTTCTCACAGTCGAACATGACTGTATTACTATTACTTCGAAGTGCACATAGCTTTGCAGGAAACACGCGGCACAGTGGCAACAGTACATGTGGGCAGGGTGCCATTTATTCATACAGTCTAGCTCAAGCTGACTGGCTACACATACAGTCTAGCTCAAGACTGGCTACACATAGGGCGAAAGTGGCCGGCAAAGATATAATGCATGCAGCCATGGGTCAAGAGCCTGTCGCTTGTTCAGGCATGGACAGTTGATAGATAGAGTGCAATGCAGCGGAGTGCGGCAGTGGCCTCTCAAGCTAAGTTTGCAGAACAACATGATTCAATCCGTTCCGCTGGCACATTTCCTGAAGCAGTGCACCAACAGTGTGCCTAGCCGTGGGCAAGGCTCTAGAGCAGGGAATGGCTGGTGTACCAAGCGAGCAAAGCCCTGGAGCAGTGCTCTGGTGTTGTACCCAGCGGCCAGGACCATGGAGCAGTGCATGGCTGGTGTACCTAGCGGCAGTGCATGGCTGTTGTCCCTAGCGGGCAGGACCATGGAGCAGGGCATGACTGGTGTACCTAGCGGGCAGGACCGTGGAGCAGGGCACTGGTGATATGCCTAGCGAGCAAGTCTCTGGAGCGGTGCTCTGCTGATGTACGTAGCGAGCAAGGCTCTGGAACAGGGCATGGCCGGTATGCGTAGCGGGCAAGATGCTGACCATCGCTAAGGAAGAAGATGCTGACTATCGCTAAGGAAGGTTTCCCTATACAAGCCATGTTGTGCAAGCAGCAGCGGATGGTGGAACATTGTGATGAGCTTGAACGGACACCAGAGCACGTTAGAGGGCAACGCATCAACATGAAGATTGAAGTGGGCCAACAGGCGATCGCACACCGCTGTATACACCAGCTCAGACATGGAGACAAACCACTCAGCACGGACTGTTGCCGCTGTTGCGCAGGGTTTGGTGTGCTCGGACTGTAGGGGAACACAACTCACGTTGTCGAGATGCTACCATAGCAACAGCACCAAAAGCAGACTAAAACGCCACCGTGTGTGGTACTGAATCAAGGCCAAAGGGTTCGTCATGTCTGTGTCGTCCCCTTTAAGCAAGACATAGATACGCCATGTTCACTCACTAGGATACAAAGACAGGAATGATCGAAGCGATGATTTGTCGGCACACTGGGCACTCGCCTCGCCGCTTGCAGATTGCATCGGCACAAGTAGCACAGACGCAGAAATGATGGCAGGGACACAGCAAGGCATCGCGCTCAGCGTCCATGCACACTACGCACTGTGACTGTCCGTCCGGACTGCCCACACGCTCTTCTTTGCCGTCATCTGCAGGGAAACACACACGCACACGGACACACACACACACACACACATTGGTACTTGCTCCCTGCCTCAACCTAGGCGAGAATATGGCACAGAAAAGGTTTGACGGCATCAAGGTATCCGATCCAACTGCATTTACTCCGGGGGCGGATCCAGTAGGGGTTCCAGGGGTTCCGCGGAACCCCCTAAATCAAGTTCGTAAATGCACTAGTACTGGCAACCATATGCTTGTCCATGTACATGTACATGTATCACCTATTCAGTCTTGACTATACTGGAACCCCCTGTAGAGATGGCTGGATCCGCCGCTGTACTCTTGCCCCCAGTGTAGGCAATACTTGATACTAGTGTATGTTGCTAAATCAGAGTGGATCCAATAGACTTCACTACCATCATTGATGGCACAAGACACACGTACATGCACAAACGCGTGCGTGAGCACACACACACACACATCCACACACACACACACACACACACACACGCACGCACACACACACACACACACACACACACACACACACACACACACACACACACACACGCACACACACGCACGCACGCACGCGCGCGCACGCACGCACGCACGCACGCACGCACGCACGCACGCACACACACACACACA